GGAGAGCAGGACTGTGGTCCAGGACTAAGTTACTGTGGTCCTGGATTACAGAGGGCAGGAATGTGGTCCACAACTGTGGTCCAGGACGAAGTTACTGTGTTCCTGGACTACAGAGAGCAGGAATGTGGTCCAGGACTAAGAGAGGGCAGGACTGTGGTCCAGGAGTAACTAAGTTACTTTGGTCCTGGACTACAGAGGGCAGGAATTTGGTCCAGAACTGTGGTCCAGGACTAAGTTACTGCTACTCATTGTTGTCCAGGACTGCGGTCGAGGACTAGGTTAATGCTGCAAGTATGTGGTGCAGGAATTATGGAAAGGTACATCGTCAGTAGATAACGCCAATACACACTAGGCAGTGTATAGACATTGGGTACTCTAATAGCCGCGTGATCAGGGTCCTCAGGCTCCAGGGACCAAGCAAGGGCTGGAGGGACTAGTAGAGAGGATGCCGATAAAGTGTAGCTCGGGTAGGACTTGTACTGAGCCTGTCTCCTGAGTAGTGGGTCGGATAGGTGGATGAGGGGGAGGGGTGGTACTGTACATTAATAGGAGGGAGGTAGGCCCTCTACGCCTGTCCGAGGGGGGGGATCGGCTTGGGATCTGCGAAGTCAATGGTTGGGGGACAAAGCCGCTTAGAGTGGGCCCTGAAGGGACAGCATCTGATCTTTGGTGGCAAGCTGGATGGTGTGGAAGGGACACGACTTGCGATAGGACTTAGGGCTCGGAATCCTAAGAGGACTCCAGCTAGGAAGGTCCAGAGGGCCAAGCGGGTCAGGGGCAGATACACGGCCATATTTTGGCCCCAAGAGCACAACTGCGAGTAGTGGAGAGAGGCCCTAAGAGTACGACTGCGAGATAGAATGAACCTTCTGCTAGAACATGGGCAGATACACGGCCATATTTTGGCCCCAAGAGCACAACTGTGAGTAGGGGAGAGAGGCCCTAAGAGTACAACTGAGAGATAGGGCCTTGCTCCACTACTCACGAAACGGGCCATCGCCAAATGTGCAAAACCGCGAAGAGTATTCCCGTGCATGATACCTTGCCTTAAAAACAACAACAAAAAAGAATTAACAAAAGCTTTTCAATACAACACTAACGATCCGCGAGACACCATCTTCCAGGCCTGCACTACTGCCGCAGTAATGTCGTCCAGGAGTATGTCTATGGTCCATGTGTCTAAGGATGAAAAAAGACGAGTGCATCCGCCCACACGAGGTAGCGAGATACATTCATTACTATTCATAGTAAAGGATGAGTCTTTGCGAGGACCGGGGAATACCCCTTGTTTGACATAAGCTGTTGCCTCGGAGGCCTGGGTCATAGCTTTTGTTTTAGTCTGTTGAAGGAATCGACAGGTCTGTCCGGAACTTCCTCGGAACCCCAGTAACCGAACTGTGGACCTTGGTTCTGGAAAACGAACTCGGTATTGGTGCTTGTTTTTTGGGCCTTTTTTGGGAGTCTTTTCGGATGTTTTCGGCGCGTACCAGTTTGTATCGTAGAAGTTGACGATTGGATGTGCTATAATTAGGAAGTGAGCGTAGACCTCCTCTTCCGAAAGGGCTCTGCCGTGACAAGTAACTCGGCTTAGCAGCTGATTGCATTCGCTGCGGTCCGCTGACTGTTGCCTAGTACTGTGGTCCGTACGATATGTCATTTTATAAGTTGCGTGCTCGTTCGTTGACATCATAGAGTTTTTCACTGTGACATTGTTAACAGCCACGCGTTAGCATGTCGTATTTTTTGGTAATATTGATGGGACGACTCTGACGAGTTTGCAGCCTTTTGTACTCCCATGCTCTCTTGCATTTGAGTGGTGCTGTTACTGCAGTCTTTGCAGTATTGGATTGCTTAAATTTGCTTTGCTTTCCTTTCCTTTCCGGTTTGAACGCCGGTTTCTATGAAAAAACAACTCCTTTTCTTTGTGTGTGTGTGTGAAGGTTTCGTGTGCTGTGTTGGCAAGGCTGTATGTTTTGCCCTTCTTGCTGTTTTTTCATGTGGAAGCCGCTCTTGGATTTTGTCACTCGTCTGTTTATTAAAAGGAATTTATTAATTAATAATTTATTGTTAAGTCGGTGAAACTCCGACGAAACAGTTTGTCACAGCCCCTCATTTGTTGTCCTCTTCTCCCTCTCTGCCTACGGTTTACCGGGCAGTTCTATTTGACGATATATATATATATATTTTTTTTTTTTTGGGAAAATGTGTACCTGTTTTCGAAGTTTTTCAGACTTGTTTCTTTGCTGGCGTTGCGTTTGTCTATTTGCGGAATGTCTATTTAGTATTTATGGAATGTCTGTTTATGGGATGTCTATTTTCACAGGTAAAGAAAGTAAATGGGACTGCCGTTCACAATCTAACGCACCTCAAGTGGCTTGTGGAGGCCTGCAAGGAGGAGCATTTGCGGTTGGATCTTGACGATGATCGTGTGGTGGTCCTTAATTTCGCCGCAGCAAAAGAGGCGTCGCGTCGGATCCTCCAGAGACACAGAATCCCAACACACGTCTCGGAAGATCTGACGCATGCAGATAATAGTCGAGGAGGCGCCGTCAAAGATGTCAAAGACGGAGATGGCGACATTTGTAGCTGGGAGAGCGTAGGGGTGGCCAATGGAGCCGGCAGCGGCGGTGGCGGTGGCGATAAAGAGGCGGTTGCGAAACTTAGGGCACTGCTTGCAGGCAGCAGAAAAAAGAGAGTGGCGCTAGATTCCGTAGGGTTAGACCGAAGGTGGACTCCAGCTGGAAATCCCGATCGCAATTGTTGTTGAATTTATATGAAAAATTTCAGGGAAAAAAAAAAGCGCATCGAAATCCAAAAATTTTGCCCCATTTATTGCTACATTAATGATCTGCTACATATTGCCAAACTGATAGTCTTGGGAATTCATTGTGTTTTTTTCTTTTTTCTTTTCTTTTTCTTTTTTTTTTCTGAGGGCTCCGCGAAGCATCATCTTCGCTCCAGTCCTGCATCCGTGTCTACGAGTCAGGACCATCACCGTCCTACCATCGCTGTGGGAGACTCCCTCTCTTCTATCACTTTGCTCTCAATCCAGGCAAAGGAACAGGTAATAAAAGAATTTAAAGTTTTTTAAACCACCACTACCTCCGAACCTGTTTTTGCCGATAGCTGCGCACCGAGCTTGGCCGAGCCGGGGCAGTTTCATCGAAGAAAGAACAAGGGAAAAAAAAAAAAAAAAAAAAAAAAAAAAAGAGACTTCCCGAACGCCTTGATAACCACCAGATACATTCCATGAGGCTGTGCCCTCAGTGAGGGCGTGCACGGGAAGAAAACAGAGAAGCAACGAAAAAAATAGAAGGAATCCCTTATCCTGTGATCGAGGGCGGATACATGATGCTACGGCAGTGAGACAGTTACGTGCCACCCGTGAAACACGCCCTGCCTGGCTGGCAGGGCACTACAAGGAATTCAAAACAAAAATCAAAAACAAAAAAGAACTGCAATCCCTTGTCTGACATAGTGGCCAGATACATTCGTCAAAGCACTGGTATAACTTCCACCCTCGTGAGGGCCTGCCCCGACATCCCTGAAGT